GTTTCAGAAAATATACGGATTTGCTGTCCACACGAAAACGCAAGGGTGGCGTTTTCAGATTTATCCACGCTGGGACCCGGTTGAAAAAAATATCGGTTTCACTCTCCCAAAACATCGGATCCATGTGGACGAAACGCCTATACGATACAAAATGTATGCGTATACAGCTAAACGTGTCTCCATGTGGACGGGGCCTTAGATAGTGAGCCAGTTACATGCCAGTGGATGTGCTGATGTTGTTTAAAGAACATTCTCAGTGAGAAGCTGTTGAGAAAGGCAAAAAAAACATCTCACCTTAAGATGAGGAACCACATTAAATGTGTCGTGTTCTGGCGGTTTGTCACAGTTCATGTGGAATCTGAGAATAAACTGTTCTTCCATATCAAATTTGACAATGTACTCACCTTTCTCATTTTGGGACTGTGAGCGATAACCTTCTTTGTATTTAGTAGTCCAATAGGTTTACCTAGTTCCTTTGCCCTTTATCTTTAATCATGACCTTGTTGATCCTATTGCATCAACTGTCAATAGTGATGACAGCTCAACATTTTGATGTTACTTAGAACAACCGTTTGGCATTAAAGTACTACTTTCACAAATGCATCTCTGCCTTACACAAAATAAGATATTTATGTGGAGCTAAAGGTGAAGTGTGTAATTTCTATCCATCCATCATCAAGTCGCCTGAGCTGCAGAGGCTCGTAGCCCGATCTCATCATGCGAAGTGAATGGCCGCGGCCAATGGCAAGGTTACATTCATGGAGGAGGGAGGAGATGATCCATCCCCGATCTGTTGAACCCAAGTTCGCCGAGGGCAAACAGGTGGTCTGCTCCAGTCAATGGGAGCATGTCTTTCAGAGCGTCGGGCAACGGCGCAGGCTAAGGCACCATAGGCAGGGGTATGACTTGCTAGCCGGGCCACATGTCTGAACAAAGACGTGCGCTGACAAGCAATTATGTCTGTGGTTGTTGGCAGACTAGTGCGTAGGTTGATGGCCGCGTTTGTTATGAGGTCGGACCAATGAACATGCAGGATTTGACGCTGGCAGCGCATATGAAATGACTGTAGCCTTTTGGCATCTTGTGATTGAAGAGTCCAGGTCTCTGAACCATACAGAAGATTTGGCAACACAGGAGGAGTAGAACCGAAGTTTTGTGCTAAGCTGAGTCCTCTGTTGACGCCAAAGGTTCTGAAAATACCTCATTGCTGAAGCAGCCAGACCAATTCGGCGTGCGACCCATTACAGTAATGTTCCTGATATTGGATCCGCCGTCCAGGCTCTGCAATTTGTTTTTTTGCCATGATACGTGTAGGCCCAGATGGGAAGCCTCTCGCTCAAAATGCTCAAGAGATGTTACCAATTTTGATGCAGATTCGTCTAACAACGTGACATCATCTGTGTAGTTTAGGTCAGTGAAATCATGTTCTGGCAACTTAACGCCATTCTGTGATGCTATTCGCTCGAGGATCCAATCCATGGCTCTGCAGAAAAGTGCTGGGGCCAGAACACAGCCCTGCCTAACTCCGGAGGTAGTTGTAAGCACCTCGGAGAGTGAGCCGTTAACCCTCACTCTGGCGGTAGTACCTGAATGAAGGTCCTTAGTGTAATTTCTGCACCACTAGTTTCACCAAATGGAATTGTAAACACAATGACTGCTTCAAACTTTGCCAACTGCTATTGGGCAGACAAACAGGCAATCCCACACCAAACTCAGTTTATGTGCCCTTGTATCTTTATATTAAACAATATAAACCTCTTCGCTCCAATGATGTGTCTTCTCTGATGATGTGTGCATCGGTGTGAGGGCGGGGCAAAAATCCCTACACTCCAGCAACCTGTCAATCATGTTAGATCACAGCAATTAGCAAAGGACAACGATCCAATCAATTCTAGATGGACAAAATCCTGCCATACATTTTTTTTCTCTCATTTGAGATGCTGTTTCTCTTGGATATACATCACAATATGAGGGAAAAGTCCATCACTATTTTCGTTTTACTTTAGGCTTGGACAAGGATAATGTTTTTACATTGATAAAATGACACACATCACCTTTAAGCTCTGTCAGGATTGAAAAATCAGGCCTCCTTCTTCACTCAGTGTACTTGCACAGTGTAGTTGTTGTAAAAACAACTATAAATGCTGAATGTATTTGATAAAGGAAGGCCACATCTCATCTCACAACTCATCTTTCTTAGAAAATTGGACCTACAATCATTATCTAAGGATTTAAATCACATTTGTGACTTTTAAATCACATCGATGACATTTGTGGCATCCTTCCAAGAAATGAAAGGAAATTGAATAAACCTGGGAAGTCATGTAAGTGGCTGCCCCTTAAAAGGTTTTTACAATCTGTAAAGTATTGCATTGCATGATTACTCTCTTCCACATAAACCTCTAGATTAATAATTAATTGCCAAACTTATTGACTGACTGACTTAGTTCCTCATTTTATGAAGTCACTTGGAGTGGGTGGTTTAATATTTCAGTATGTCTGATGGCTTGTTTTAATTATGCCCATTCATTCTTCCAGCTGAATAACAGAACAGTGTGCGTCCTGCTGTAATTGAATCCCAGTGGTTCAATAACTATTGATTATTAGCAGTTACTATGGTTTTGGTTGCAGAAAGAGTATACAAAATCATTGTTTCAGTTATTTATTATTTTAGCAGTCAAACACAAAATACACTTCAATTTCCTCAGTGGTTTATATGACGATGGTTTATACATGTGTTTTCATTGATGATGAATATTAGTATGAATAGTAGAGTGTAATGCAACATGGGCCTGATCTACATTTTATACTGTGTTGTTCTTGTGTGATCCACAACTATACATCCACATGAAAGTCAAGCACAGTTTTGTAGACATGGAGCTGGCCTGTACAATCTTAGTGGTAACCATGATGTTTCAAGTGGATGTAGCAGTTTTGGCAGAGACCATTGAATTTGCTAAGCTTTTTCTCATACAGTGTCCTAACTCATCCATTAGATAGTATTAAGTACAAACTCGATCTGTGCATGTTGTTCACAGATGATTCCTTTTTTTTATCAGCTCTCATTCTTTTATCAACTATTACTTCCTCTCATCAGATTTAAATATGAAACCTGCCTTTACATACTACATGCATTTTGTGTTTCTCACTGGACAGGTTGATTTTTTTTTTCTTCCTTCATTTTTCAAATATCAAGGTGTCATTTTTGGCTGATGGTACCAATTGTCTGCTTTATGGATTGAATACACACAAAAAATGGCTCTAAAGATAACAAGCTCTGGAGTTTTTTTTTTTATAGTAGTTGTAATGATCTACATACTTTCTTTCAAAACAAAAAGTTTGGGTGGTACATAATCAAAGGGCTTGCCTCTTTTTTATTAAATAGCCTATTGGTTGTAATTACATCAGAGCTATGATTTGTGACTTTCTACTCATTTTAGTGATGGTATCTGGGGGAGGGGCAATCTCATTCTATAAAACATTTGATTGGACAAAAAATCTATGTAGTACAGGATGAGACATCAATATTTTTTATCTGTTTTCCCAGAAAAGGCAGACCCTACATTTTAAATGTTTAGAGTCAGTATGATTTTTTTCAAATGTTTTTGAAAGAGGTCTCTTATGATTGCCTTAAAGGGGTCATATGATGCGATTTCAATTTTTCCTTTCTCTTTGGAGTGTTACAAGCTCTTGGTGCATAAAGAAGATCTGTAAAGTTGCAAAGACTAAAGTCTCAAATCCAAAGAGATATTCTTTATAAAAGTTAAGAGTCAGCCACGCCTACCTAAAACGGCTCGTTCTAACACACCCCACATGTCTACGTCACGATGTGAGAAGATTTGCATAACGCCGCCCAAACGTTCACGCAAAGAAAGAAGGCGTAACTTAAAAATATTTGGCTGCACAACTGTTGATAATTCTAATAATAAATCAGCATATTAGAATGATTTCTGAAGATCA